GCCCTGAAAGGGGCCCCAGGCGGGACTCCCTGAAAACCTTTTCCTTTCTGTTGAAAACCTAGGAGAGCCAACACCATCCTTAATGAGCCAACTTCATCCTCAAGTTTCTAACCTGATGCTCCTTTGTCAGCAGACAGGTGCCAGGACCGTGTTTAAGTAACTCCCAACCTGGAGGCCAGTGACCTTTTATTATTACTACTCTGATCATTAATATTTATTAGCTGCCATTTATTGAGTATGACTTGGGCTCTGGGTTCTGCACTGTGTTAACTTTATAGCACTAAACCCCCCAACCACCCACATGCAGTTGGTGTTGTCATTAGCCCCATTTTACAGATGCAGAAACTGAGGTCCCATGCAGTTAAGGATACCTTGCCCAAATCACTTAGCTGATGAGCAAGATTTGGCACCAGGTCTAGAGGGCGGGAAAGCTGGGCTGCCACAGGGCTTTTCGAGCATGTAGTTCCTGCCACGTGCAGCCTATGTCATCTCCAGTCTTCCCAGCAATCCCTTCTCCAGGGGGTACCCCCAGCCCCACTTTACAGATGGGGCCCTAAGAGGGAATGTGACATGCCCAGCATGGCAGACTTAGCAGCGGAAGGGCCGGGTCTGCCTCGAAAGTCCCCTGTCATTCTCTGGGACACCAGGACGGTCCTGGGCAAAACAGGACACGTTGGTTGCCCTGAGCAGCAGGGTGCTATTTGGAGGAAGAGGGTGGCCTGCCCGCCCAGCCACATGGAGAACGCCCAACAATTTCTGGAGGTCACTTTCATGGGAAACCATACAGGTCTGCAGGAAGATGCACAGAGCTTTCTCTCTTCCCTCCTCCCTCGATCCCAGACCCACACACTGTAGCCCACACTCCAGCCGACGAACATTCCTTCAGCAGGGAGCCTTCTGCCTGATCCTAACTCTAGGCTTGGTTTCCACCGCTCCTTCTCTCCCACGGCCTAGCCCGGCCAACATCTACCGGAGAATTCTTTCATGCCATCCCAGATCCTCCGTTCCAGCCCCTGCTGGGGAGGTCAAGTCCCTGTGCCCCTCTGGGTGCCGCTGGTGTGCCCACTGCAGGCACTGGGCAAACACTGGCCCGTGAAGGAGAGGCCCTCGTGAGCGGAATGGATGCAAGATGCATCCGTGGGACAAATGGGCAAAAGGCTGACATGCGCTCAGAAACAGCGTCTCCCGAAAGACGGCAGGAAAGGACACTCCTTCTGCAAACTGAACTTCGTGAGGGCAGGAGCCGCCCCCCTCTTGCTCACTGCTGACTTCCTAGCCCTTGGCACCGTGCCCGGCACCTGCTGAGCTCCATGCACACCTAGTGAACAAAACCACCACAGAGGCTTCACAGCACCGAAGCCCTGTGCCTGCTGGGAGAGGCCGATTCCTTGGGGACTAGAGAACAGGCTGAAGTTGTGGCTGTGGCTCTGTCTCTGTCTGACATTTGTTGGGCACTACCTGTGTGCAGGGGGCTAGGCTGAGCTCAACAAGGACGGAAAGAATGTACAAAATATTTTCTCTGCCATTAGTCTCATCTGCCTCCCATGCCCCCAGGTAGGCCATGGCCCCGGGGGGCATCCTCTGTCCCATCCCTGCCCAGTGTCCATGTCTTCATCCTGAGGTTATCACGCCTCTACCCACTCCACCTGGCTCTTCCCTTGGAAAGCCATCCCCTCCTTTAACCTCCGGCCCTGAGCGTCAATGCTAAGGGAGGTCACATGGCCCAGGCCCGATCAGTCAGCCCATTCCATCCCGTAGGACTGACCACCACTGACCCAAGGACAGACATGTGACCCAAGCTGGTCCCCTGAAAGTCAGCCCCAGGACTTTAGTTGAAGGATTCAGGAAGAGAAGCTCCCTTTGTGGGAAGATTACTGACAGTAAGGTTGATGGAATCCGGGAGCCTGGGGTCCTCAGGGACTGGGCCAGCCTCAGAGAAGGGACAACCCAGGGGAAACCAGAAGACAGAAAGACAGAGACAGAAATCCAGTACTATCATCATACAAGGCCTGCTGCTGGATATCCTGACACGTGAGCCAAGAAACTAACTTCTCTCACCCTGGTTTTAGTATGGCTTCAGCGGCTTCGAGATGCGTCTCTGCTCTGTGTAACTGAAGGAGCCCAGCCGTAGAACCAAGTGACACCTGCTCTCCTCAGCCCCAGAAGCCCTCGGGCCCCAAACCCAACATGAGGCATCTGTCCCCCCACACAAGGCACTCCCTGCCTGCCTCCCCGTCTCTGCGGCTCCCAGCCTGGCTCCAGGCCCTCGTGGGCGGTCTGGGGCTTGAAGTCTCTTACGAGTTCCCTACTCGACTCCAGTCTAGCAGCTCACCCCCAAGCCACCCTCCACATTGTCAGGAAAATGGATCTTTCCGAAGAGGACAATAGAGAATCATGCCAGTTCCCCGATTCACACCTTTGTGGGCTTGCTGCTCTCCACGGCAGATTCCTAAAGCATGGGGTGCGTGTCCCTGCAGGTAAGTGAGCTGCCTGCAGATGGCACGTGGACCCAGCACGCTAACACACGGAGACAGAACAAGAAATTTCGGTCCCCTCTGGCTCTCTTACAAGCCTTCTGATTTCTTTATAGGGAAAAATCTCTCCATGGTCCTACTAGGGCTCCGACATCTCTACCACTTGCTTCTCTCCCTTTTTAACAAAAAGAGGGAAAGCCTTGAGCTGGGCACCTTCCGCAACAAGCTAGAACTTCAAAATATTGTTTTGTGCTTGTTGCATTTGTTTTTACGGTCACTTTCTGTGTATGCAAATGATAGTGGTTTTTCATTGACAGTAGTTATATAAAGGTTTCTTTGGAAATTAATTTATATAAACACAAAAGTGAGTCTATTTAAAGAAAAACTAAGGCAAATGACAGGACGTATACGGAGATGGTGAATCACGTTTGGCAAACAATGATTCGCAAGATGCAATGTGATCTCCTCAGCTGGGCACACGACACCCTCACGGTCCGCCCCTTGACCACTCCTTCAAACCCACCGAAGGGCTTTTGGCTCCCATGATGAGGCTCACAAAGTCAGACCTCCAAGCCTCTGCCCACGCTGTTCCTTCTGCCCAATGTCCTTCCCTCAGACCCTCCTTCTCAACCTAAAACAATCTTATTTATTCCCGAAGACCCAGGTGAATGTTGTTGTCTACTGCGGCCCAACTGCTCAAAGATCTCAAGGGCCCCCCTGTGCTCTCTTGGGCCACTTTTTAGGGATTGCTGAGAGGCCTTCCCTTTGAGGCTGAGAGACCCCAGAAGACCAGAATGGTCTTTCACCTCTGTGTCTGGCACAGAAGCTCAGTTAGCATGGGGGGGATGTGGACCCATCAGATGCAAGCATATCTGGGGACCACAGAGGCCCAGAGCCCAAACAGCGGGAAGAGAAGGGGGTGGGGAGTGATCTCCAGACGCAGGTGCCTGAGGCTCGGCCCCACGGCACAGCTCAGGGATTCCCTCAGGAGACAGGAAGAGGTGAGCATCCGGGCTACCGGGTCCTGCAGAGGCCTGGAGCAGACAGCCTAGCAGGCCAAGCTTCTTGACTTTAACTTGCATTTGGATCATCTTTGGACTTGTAATGCCAATTCCTAAGCCTCACCCAAACACTGGCTCGGTGGGTTTGAAGTGGGTCCTAAGCTGCACTTTAAAAGGAATGCCTCGGGGCGTCTGGGTGGCTCAGTTGGTTGAGCAGACAGACTCTTGGTTTCGGCTCAGGTCATGATCTCAGGGTCCTGGGATCAGGCCCCATGTTGGGCTCTGCACTCAGTGGGGAGTCTGCTTGAGGATTCTCTCTCTCCCTCTGCCCCTCCCCCCACACTCTCTCATGTGTGTGCGATCTCTCTCTCAGATAAATTAAAAAAGAAATGCCTCAAGTGATGGTGAGGCCCACACTCGGAGAAACACTGGGCCACAGGTGTCCGCACGAATGGAGACAGGTAAGGGCCTAGCAGACAAAACGCAGAAATGCATCTGAACGGCAAAGATCCTCCAGAACATTGCATCACTGTCTGGCCACCGAGAGCCTGAAGACACAGTCTACTGGAGAATGAGCGTTGTCAAGGTTATTTACAGTATGCCCCCAAATAATTCAACGGAGATGTGTTTAATGAGGTAGATCCACGCATGATCACAGGCAGTGTTATAGGCCGACCCTGGAGTGATCCATCCCAAATACAGAATCTCTTGTTAGAGACCTTCTCGACTAGCGATTGTGAGCAGGAAACTTAACCCCTCCGAGTCAGGATGAGGCCATTTGTGGCTAAAGAAACCCTCCTTTGGGGCGCCTGGGTGGCTCAGTTGGTTAAGCGACTGCCTTCAACTCAGGTCATGATCCTGGAGTCCCAGGATCGAGTCCCACATCGGGCTCCCTGCTCGGCGGAGAGTCTGCTTCTCCCTCTGACCCTCCCCCTCTCATGCTCTCTCTCTCCCTCATTCTGTCTCTCAAATAAATAAATAAATAAAATCTTAAAAAAGAAAAGAAAAGAAAAGAAAAGAAACCCTCCTTCGTTCGAATGACCAGGCAATCAAACTGTTCGTAGATGAAATCCAGGCAAACCAGAGAAAGCGAGGTTTCTAGCAGAACTAGCTGCAAATGGCAGTAAGAGCCTCCACTTTGGTTTGTTACCAGTCGCCTCCTCACTTGCGAATTAAAATAGAGAAGTGAAAGCATGTGGACCCGTGGGGTCTTTATGGCCAGCCCAGTGGCTGCCCCCCTTCCAAGCTCTGGCCTTCAGAACAATCCAGGCCGAGTCACTCATCAAATGGAGATTGACTTTTATCTGATTAACCGATGGAGAAACAGCCTCCTCCATCTCGCAGGAACATTCTGTGGGAAAGGCGTTTTGCAGACTGCAGGGAAAAGTTGGGCCTTGGCTTCCCTCCTGCTTGGGCAGTGGAAAATTACAAAGGAAGCAAGGCTGTCCTCTGCTCTGCTCACGGGTTCTTCCTGGGCCCGGAAAACACAAAGAGAACCCCGGAAACGGAGTGAGCCTTTACTTACCTGGGGCGGAGAGGAGTCGGGGAGGTGGTGGGGGCGGGGGTGGTGGGGGCAGCAAGGGAGGGGGGCGGCACTGGCAGATGTGTTGACAGCTGTCGGTCACCTTGGAGCAGGACTTCTGGGGCTCACCATGCGTCACCTGCAGAAACGGGCAGGTGCCCAAGAGAAGAGCATGAGGCCGCAGGGAGCAGAAATGGGCCCGCCCCACCCACTCCCAGCCAGGCTGGAACTCGGGATCCTTCCCCCAGGCCACGGAGGGAGGAAGGCAGGAGTCGGGGTGGCTTGAAGGGAACAGTGTTGTGGGAGGCCGGCCTGGTGGGTTTAGAGACCAAGGTTTTATTCCTCACTCTGCCAGGGACAGGCTATGAGACCGTGGCCCGTGACCTGGCCACTGAGAGGGAGACAAGAATTTTATGGTTAACTCTTAGAATTTCCCTAGCGCACAAATGAGGGAACTGAGGCCCAGGCTGCCCGAGGTTCCCACACCCGGGCAGTGACTGGATACCGATTTTACCTCCTCAGTAACCTGAGCCAACCATTCCTGCGGTCTTCCTTGTTACAGCACAAGGCCAAGCCCGCTCCTTCTCTCTGCCCACAGGTCCTGACAGCCTTCCTATGTCCATGCAGGGCCAAGGTGCCCTCCATCTGGAGGGAGGAACCTTACCCAGACCGGCCATGTGAGCAAAGGCAGCCTGAGTGGTCTTGTGGGAAACACACCAGACCAAACCCTCCTCATCCTCCTAACAACCCCTGGGCACCTGCCCACAGCTCAGGAGCTCACGTGGCCACAGGGCCCTGCTCCAGAGGCCCCTGACGATGTTCCCAGCCCCACCTCACGCCACGCTCTCAGCTTCTGCTCTGCTCTCAACACCCTTCTTCTAGTCCCTGGGCCCTGGCCACCCCCCCACCCCCCCTTTACGTATACTGCTCCACTGTCCCAGAATGTTCTCCCACACCTTTCTCTGACTTGATCCATTACTCAGCTTGGCTATCAGCTCCTCAGGGAAGCACCTCTGACCAGGTCAGGTCTCCTTTTATAGGCTCTCCTGGCACCAGGCTGTACTCTGTGGGGCAAAAATCTACATTTGGGTGATTATCTGATTCCTACCTGTCTTCACCATTGGACTAGATGCTCTGTAGGGGTAGGGGCCCAGCTTTTTATTTTCATCCACTAAGGGAATCCCTGGCATCCAATAAATATTTGGTGAATGAATGAATGAGTATTAAAAACTGGCCCAGAATCCATGCCTCTCGACTGCTGATCTGGTGTTTTTTCGACACCAGTCTTTAGTTCTTCACCTGTCAACCAGGTTGGGGCTGGGCTCAACCAGCAGTTCCCAACCCTGATTGCAAATGAGAATCTCCTAGGCAGCTTTAAAAAAATACTCATGCCTGACCCTTTCCTAAGACCGATTAAATCAAAATTTTGTGTAATTTTCCCAGGCTAGACTTCTACTGTATAGCCCGCATGTGTACTGCTGGCTTAGACACACCGTCAGCCTCCCTCCCCATGGCAGAGTGCCCTAACCTGCGAGCCTAGGGTTCTGTGCCCGTCCCAGGGAACAAGGGGATGTAAAAGCATGAAGGAAAGAGTTGGTGGGCATCCCCACCTCAGTGAAGCCCCCAGTAACTTCTCTGGCTGTCCTTTTGGGGGAGTAGAAACCCAGAACCCCAGTTTCTCTGCAGCTAGCCACCTGCGGTCTGCCGTTGGGAAGGGCATGCTATAGACCACCTTTGGGTGCCAATGCAGTCCCTCCAACACGCGTGTCCTGGGCCGGCAGGGAGAGTCCCTGGGGCTCCGATGCTCCCTTCACACTTGGCGGCTCTGAACAGGCTGGGTGATGACCACTGGGTGATGGCAGTAAGAGGTGGGTTGATTTACAGCCCCTAACTTACTCTGTATGAGGCCGAGAAGCCGAAGCCGCTGCTCACCACCTTTTAGGGTTCTTAAAGGGCCACTGACTGCGTTTCAAACTCCGAAGGCAAGCTCATCTCCCACCAGGAAGAGCAGATCCTCGGATGGGGTGTCTTTCCTAGTTAGTTGACGGGAATGCCTAACTCCTTGCGCAGACGTGGTAACCCCCACCAGCTTCTCCACCAGTGCACCGGTCAGCTCCCCCGTGGTCATAGAGCCGCCCTCCTCCCGTTCCACCCTCCTCCTGGTGCCGACCTTCTAAGACCACGGCCAGGTCGGGGGGTGGGGGGGAGGTGGGTGTTGCTTGAAGGCTCCATTCTGCCAACGATAGCCTCCGAGGTCGCTTCTCTGCTGGACTCTACCAGTGTGCAAACGTCAAGCAATGCTACGGCCAAACCAAGGACCCTCGCTGAGGGGCAATTTATGCAAGAGTTCCAGAGGAGCACGTCTGCTTAACCTGGCCCAACTCGATGACCCATTTTTGTGAGAGGATACAAGGGCACCAGTGGTTACGAGAGTTTAAAGCGATAAAATTATCAGCAGGGAAGCTGGGGCCAAGTTTCAAGACTGAAGGGGGAGGGAACAACGGAGCGCATGGCATTTAAAAAAAATCCATGGTTCCTTCGTCTGTCGGATAATGGCCCCACTGGAATGGGAGTGTGCACATCTGCCTAACCAGTCACCCTCACAGAAGTAATCCGATTTGGGGTGTCTATCCTTCTCCCTGATTGCGGGGGCCCACTTGGGGTCCTTCACTGGCGTTTGGTCCAGCGCAAGCCTGTGGCCACTGAGCCGCTCTTAACTGACACTTGGTTACTCAGACCTTGATCCCCTTGCCAACCTCCGGAACCCCATTGGATCCACCTGCTCAGGGCTGCTGCCTCACCCTGTAATCTCTGGGGCACTCTGCCCCTGTTTTGTAATGTCTGCTCCCCGCACTGAGCCTCGAGCATCTTGGGGCAGGCAGGCGGGTGGGTCTGTGCTTCCTGAGTCCTGACCCAGTACGCCTTCCTGAGCCCTACTGTGTGGGAACCACGGCTGGTAAGTGAGAGAGGCAAGCGTTACCACTGACGCTTATGGGGGGCGGGGGGGGGGGACAGGCCCAGCGAGGCTAAGTAACCTACTAGGATTTCACAGGGCCCTGCATTCAGTTGGCACACAATGAAAAGATGTGTTGGGGGATGGTCTGCCCACCAGTGGAGAAACACAGGATCTATTCTGCTCCCCAACTCTGGGTCCACTTGGGGGTTCTATGGATTGGCGGTGTTGTATTTAGACCAGTCGAGAGGAGACCTCAGCATTGAGAGCTCGTCTCAACGCCTGGCTTGCCTGGTTTGTATCTTGGGGAGTCCCACAGGGAGAAGGAACTTTCCCTGAAGCCACCTGCTCTTGGCTGGACTTGACTAAGCAGGGGCAGAGGCTCAGAGAGGTCAACGACTTGCCTAAAGCCCGCAGAACAGAAGCTGACATCATGACTTCCTGCGGCCACTTTTCGTCCAGTTTTGCTGTTCCCTGCCTTCCTGCCCCTGCTCTGCAGCATTGTTCTGGGGCCAGAATCTTGTCAGTGCTACTGTCGTGGAGAGTGGGCTAAGGCGCAGGTTAAGTCCCACAGTCACCTGGATTTGGTACCTGCCACTGTGGTCCGGCGGCCATGGTGCTCCAGGTTCCCACTCACTCCTGACCAGTCGCTGCAGCTTTCTGGCTCAGTGGATGTTACCTTCCTGAATAGTCCCTGCGTCCATCAGTTTCTGCCCATTCTCACTGCTACCACCCTAAACCAGGATACCATCTTATCTCCACTGGGCAGCACCTGCCTCTCACCTAGGATTATGAGATAAAATAGAGGGCATCTTGTTAAATTTTAGAGAAACAACCATTTTTAGTATAAGTATATCCTAACTATTGGGTGGGATATACTTACACTAAAGCCCGAGGCGGCGTTTATTTGAAATTCAAATTTAACTGGATGTCCTATATCTCTACCTGCCTAAATCTGGCAACCCTCCCCTCCCCAGCGTCTTTGCCCCCTTGCCTCACCCCTGCTGCCCCAAATCCATCTTTCTGCTGGGCCTGGACCGAGATTTCTAAAATGCCAGCCAGAGACTATGTCATTTCTTGCTTAAAACCTTAAAATGGCTCCCATAGCCCTCGGGATCGTGTCCGAACCGTAAGGCATTATGTCAGGGGCTTACAACAGTGGCCTTACCTGGGACTTCTCTCCCCGGGGTTCTTCCCACGCCCCGTTCTCTCCTCTGGCCTCGGGGCTACTCCCTCTGCCTGGACACTTCATTCATGCCCTGCAGCCTGCTCCTCTCTTGTCCTTGTTCACACTTCAGCCACAGCACTACCTCTGCGAGCCTCCTCTGACTCTCCCACCAGGTCTCGTCCCCAAGCCGACTGCTCCTGCTGAGTTCTCTTGCCTATAATTGCTTCATTTCCTCTCCAGCACCAGGCTGTCAGTGCCGCGAGGCCAGGGACCACTCCCCCCTTGCACTTAACAAAGGGCCTGGCAAACAGTAGGTGCCCCCAATAGATGCTACTGACGAGATAAGCCAAGCTGTAGTGACTGATCATAGGAGGAGCTCAGCATTGCTGGCGGCCCCCCTTCAGCACACAGAGACCCATTGGCCCGGGTCACAGCCTGTCTCCCTGGAGGACACCCACAAAGATGATGGCTTCTGGCATCTTGTATGGAGACAGGCCAGCACCACAGTAACTTGATGAGACACACTCCTGTCACACCTAATAAATTTGCCAGCCTGTCATCCTCTTTGCTTGCAAAAAAAGGAATCATCTGGAAGTGAACTTAGAAGAACCTAAATCACAAAAGCTCAGAATCTCAATTCTAGACATATTAAAGAAGAAAGGGGGGAGGCTAGGGAATGCCCCCACCAACCTTGTGGCAATTTAAATGTCATCCGACTTTAAGGATTATGTTTCTTATCCTCTGGGCGACAGCCAGAGCTTCAGGCTGATGTCAAGGTGGGAACCTGGTGCTTCGTGGGGGACCACAGGTCTCTTGCTTCACCAATTATCCTATCAATTACAACTCTTTGATATGTTGGTCTCACTCTTGCACATGTTTACAACTTTGGGGGATTCTTCTGGCAAAATGCTTACGAAAGCACAGATAGCTCTGAGCTCTTTCTCTATATTCAAGAAACTCCTATGATGTGGCAGATTTCAATCTCTCCACTTAGAGGGAAATACATGGCCCTCATGCACTTGTATCTTTCTTTTCTTCCCTCGCTTCTCCTGGAGTCAGCTCTTTTCCTTAAAAACCAGATCCATCCATTTCAAAGCCCCTCTTCCCTTGGCTTCTCAGCCTCTTATCAATTGTAGATTAATTTTTCCAGAGCCTCCTGCCAACATTTTGCCCATTTTACTTGTCTGGAGGACTCCTGTTCTAATTGATTTTCACAAACATTGACTTGTATTGAGTAACAGCATCTGAAACACACACACACACACACACACACGCATGCACGCACGCACGCACGCACGCACGAGCGCTGCCTGGCTGAAGGACATTGCTAAAAAACTGAGTTGCGTTCACAAGATTATTTCTTTTGGTGGTGATGGTGGGGAAGCAGTGGGTCTGCTGTGTGAATCCTGCTAGTTCACGCCACAGAGATGCCAGCCTCGGAGGCTGACAACAGCACGTTGCTCTCTAGGAGTGTTAGGGAAAACTGTAAACAGATGAATAGAAAAATGAAGTGAACTTCCCATCTGAGGTTCAACTAAAAGTTGCACGAGGCAAGCTGGTCCCAAGCCGCCCAAGTGTTTAGAAGTGACAAAATCCTGAATCCTGAGGAGGCACAGCTGAGTTTAATAGCTGCCGTTTCACACATTAAACAAAGCTGTCAATTCCGGAAGGAAAACAATCGTGAGGGAGACAGAGGGAAGCCAAAGAAGCCAGAGCAGAAGATGAGCCTGGGGCTGGGGCTGCGGTTGTGGGGGGGGGGGGTGGCTGGCCGACCCACCTGCTCAACTAGCATGCTTCTTCCAGCCTGAGACCTCCTGGTGCTCCCCAGTGGTCACCCAGGCCACCATCCAAGCAGGACAGACAGCTGGTTTCCAGTGGGGCCCCATTGCGCAGGGCAGCTCAAGGACTGCAGCAGACCGGCAAGTGGTCTCACCCTATCCCCTCTCCTTTGGTCGATAGCCCCCTACTCAGGGCAACCATCTGAAAGATCCCCAACCCCCAAAATGCCTCCAGAAGAACATGAAGCCGCAAAACCTCCAGAGTTGGGGATGTCGATGCTCAAAACAGTAAAAATGTCCTCCCGTGCCTGTGGAACCGCTGAAAATTCAAAAACGTCCAACAGATTCTGTCGTGATCAAGAGAGTAGCTGGCCATCCAGATGGAAGAGCAGCGTGACTATTACTAGTATCGACAATGGCGGCCACAGCCACCATTGAGGGTTTATTATGGTCCAGGTGCTGCGCGAAGCGATCTTTACTTGCTTGATCTCATCAAGTACTTACAAGGGCACAGTGAGGAACAAGAAACCAAAGCCCCGAGAGGCATGACCTGAAGTCCTGAGCCGGTGAGGGGCAGAACTGGAGCTCAAAACGCAGAGCTGACACCAAAGTCCACGTTACCACTCCACTGTACCACTGACCGTGGACATTCTGGAAGGTACCAGGGGCCACGCCATCTGACCCTCTCCCTGAGCCTGACAGAAGTCACTCCAGCTGGTGGCCCCCTGGCCCGTGCCCCGGGGTCTCGGGGGCCCAGGGTGAAGGCTCCAGCCCCAGGCAATCCTTACAGATGGACAGTTTCTTCCTACATCTCCACCAGGGGCCCCATCCACAACCTGTCCACATCCCCAACTCCGCTGCCTCCAGGAAACACAGCCCCAGCTGTGGTTAAGTCCAGTTTAAGAAGGCTAAGTACAAGTTTACTAGTGATTCTGGTGGGAAATAAAGAATGTATAATTCTTGGGATCATTTTCTTCTTGAGTTTGTAGAAGCTCTAAGGTTTCTTTCCCTGCATTTCTGCAACAGAATGTTACCATCGAGAGGGCACTCCCAAGCCCTTTCTGTTTCAAGGCTGTCCTGCAAGCCTTGCCAGGCCAGGACTGAGGCCTGCCCCAGAGTTTTTCCAGATCTTTTCAGGGCCAGAGTATGGAGGGGTAGGGAGAGTGGGAGGGCATGCACCTTTTCTTGTCCTAAGGTCTCCCCAGGAGCAATCGGAGGGGCGGCTGCAGGAAGCCAGGGTCGTGGGAGTGAAGTGCCACCGCCCCCCCCCCCCCCCCCCCCCCCCCCCCCCCCGCCCAGTCCTGCCCGGGTGAAGGTCCTCCAGCCCGCCAGCCGCCCGCCGCTCACCTGCACGAAGCCCCAGAGAGGGTGGAGCGCGCAGTGCAGCAGCAGTGAAGGCCAGCAGCAGCCCCGGCGCAGCACCAAGTCCCGGAGGAGCATCTCGGCCCGCGGCACCACCGCTCTCGGGGGCGAACTGTCAGGGGAGCAAAGCCCGGGTCAGGCGGGCGCCGCGCGGGCACCATCGCCCGCGCGCACCCTCACACGTAGCCGTCCGGGCTGGGCGGGCACGCCCCGCACCCTGGGGCACCCTCATAAACCAAGACTGCCCCTTCACTCCAGCCTGCACATTCGCTGACCCTTGGCGCACACTCAGAGAAGCCGGCATCCCAGAACCCCCAACCCTGGCGCACACCCACAGAACCTTATGTGTATCCCTTGGCTCCGTGCACACCCCCAGAATCTTGCGTGCACGCTTTGGCTCCATGCACACCTCCAGAAACAGCCAAGCACACTTAACCGAACCCAGTGCATCTCCCCCAGAAACCTCCCCAGCCATGCACAACTCACTCCCACTGTGAGCATACTTCAAACCCGGCGGGCACTTCTCACCCTGCCTGCACACCCACAGAAACGGCCGTGCACACCCACCGACTCCTGCCTGCACACTCGCTGACCCTGCGAGCACAGCACCAGGAAATCACACGCTGCGTGCACCCTCTCTGCCCCGCCGGCCCTCACTGCGCACACTGCAACATAGGCACCTCCGGGCGCACCCCATGTGCCCTCGCGCGCTCTCCCGAGCCCCGGCCTCCCGGCTTCAGGGCGTGAGCCTCCGGCCCTGGTCTCCCTCTCCGCCCGCACCTCTCCAGCGCCTCACGCCACCTTGCCTGGCGGCGGCCCCAGCCGATCCTCGGCGCGGGGAATGGAGGTCTGCGCTCCCCCCGCGGCAGACTGTTCCCGAGCCGCCGGACGGCCCCCATTTAAAGCCGGCCGCCTCCCCGGTCCCCCGCCCTCTAGGCGGGGCCTCGGTCCTCACCCTGGTGACTGCGCGGGCGCCCGGGGGCTTCACCTGCCGGGGAGGAGCGCCCGGCACTGGAGCAAAAGTTTGCGCGCGGCTAGGGCCGAGCCGGCTGCCGAGCGGGGGCCGCGCGCGGGGCGCCCGCACGGGGCGCAGGGCGCGGCGGCTCCGGGCTGCTCCTGGCCGCGCGCGGGCCGGGAGGGGCGGCACCCCGCGCCGGGGGCCGGGGCGGGCGGCCGAGGCGGAGGGGAGGGCGGGGAAAGTCTCCTCCGAGCCGCCTGGAGCCGGCGGCGCGAGCCTCCCCGGATCCCCGCCCTTGGCGGTGGCGCCGCGCGGCTGCCCGGGGCGCGGGGGTGCCCGAGCTCTCCCCGCCCGTCACGCCGGCCCGCGGGAGGCGCTGCCCGGGAGCGGCCGCTCGGGTAGCAGGGCCGCGGGCGGAGGCGAAATAAATAATGCACGAAAAAGGAAAACAGACGTGAGCCTCGCCAGAGCCTCGCCCGCCTCCCGCCCCGGGCTGCGCTCCCGCCCGCGCTCCCCGCCGCCGCCGCCAGCGCCGCCGCCGCAGTGATTCCTCGTCTCCATCTAGCGAGGCTATTGTGTATTGGGCTCTTAATAATTTATTTATTCACCCGCGAGGAAGAAGACTCCCAGCTCCAGGGGCTCACTCCGCGCTTGCCCTCCCCCCAAGTTTCTCCGCGGCGGCGGGAAGGGGGCAAGGACCGACTCACGGAGACCCCTTTCTGCGCTCCGTCCTTACGGACTGTCTCCCCTCCCCCGCCGCATTCGGAACGGCAGGCCCCCCCTGGGTGTCGGGGCTCCAAGGCGCAAGCCGCCCCACCCGGAGCCAAGGGCCCTGTTGTCCCTTCTGTGGTCTCAGCCCGGGGACCTCGCCGACCACACGCTGCGTCTTGGAGGGAGTTGCCTAGGGCCCTGGGGAGGACGTCTCCACCTCAACCATGCCCAACTCCTCTGTCGGAGGCAAGATTATCAACAAGTCGGTGGAGAAGTAGCCTGCCACGTTTTTCTCAAACGGGCTGCCCCCGGCCTCCGCGACCGCACCGCAGGTATGCGCAGTCGCTCTGCAACTCGGGTGGCCGTGCTTGGGAAGCGCTTTGACTGATGAAGTAGCCTTCCAGAAGGTCCCCGAGGCATGGACAATCCTATTTTTAGGTTGGGCGAGGGAGGGAACCAGGGGCAGAGGACTAAGAGTGGGGAATCAGACACCATAGTTTATTCCCTGAAGAAACGTTTATTTAGTTCTTTTCTCAGTCTCTGTGGGCACCCTAAGTGACATCAACACACACTCTAAGTATCAACTGCTCTGCAGTTTTTGGACCAGTTTCCCAGGGACCTCTTTCCCGGAGAGTGCCGGGGAAAGACTGCTCTCCGTGTAAATTCTGTAAGCCACTTCTGAGCCCCAGGGATGCAGGGGGACAGCTGTGAATGGGGGACTCCGGGCCTTTGGGAAAAAGCTGGGGGCCTGGTCAGGGAGACAGATGAGGAAACCAGCCGTTCTGCCCTCTGGGGCTGTGGTGTGAGAAAGGGGCCTGCACTGTAAGCAGGGGACAGGAGTGAAGACGAGGGAGGGGGCAGTCAAGGCTTCCAGGGTAAAATGACCTTCGGGGGGTGGGGGAGTAGTTCAAGTGTTGGGAACCCCTGGGGCAAAGATGTGGACATACCTGTTCACTCGCTCATTCATTCATTCATTCATTCATTCCATACATAGTGTCCTTGAGCACCTACTAAGGGCCCAACAGAGCATTTGAGGCTGGGAACATGGGAACAGGAAACCATTCTAGAGGGACCATCCTGGAGGGAGGATGCGTGGGAAGAAAATGTTGGAGAGGGGACTTCCGGGGTGACTTTCTCTCGCCCGGAGTTTGAAGCAGAAGAATGAGTCACAAAATTGAGCCACTATTTGTCAGCTGAGGTCAAAAGAACACTGATTATCTTAATGCCTTTCTACTTAAGCCCGTCAGGGTATTCTGTTCCGTTCGTGATTTCAATCTTTAGATGTGACAACAACCTGCCATGTTTATGTATGGAGCTCTTTACCACTTCAGAAGTGTCCTTGGGGCGCCTGGGGGGCTCAGTCAGTTAAGCATCCAACTCCTGATTTCAGTTCAGGTCATGGTCTCAGGGTCGTGAGAGCGAGGCTGGAACCGGGCTCCCTGCTCAGTGGGGAGTCTGCTTGAGATTCTCTCCTTCTGCCCCTCCTCAAAAAAATAACAAATCTTCTTTAAAAAAATGTTTTTATATCACATTTTAATGCACTTCTTGTTTGTTGTTGTTAAGATTTTATTTATGTATTTGACAGAGAGAGACACAGCGAGAGAGGGAGCGCAAGCAGGGGGAGTGGGAGAGGGAGAAGCAGGCTTCCCGCTAAGCAGGGAGCCCGATGCCGGGCTCGATCCCAGGACCCTGAGATCATGACCTGAGCCGAAGGCAGCCGCTCAACCAGCTGAGCCACCCAGGCGCCCCTTTAATGCACTTCTCACAACTCTGTGAGGTAAAGGTAATTGCTCCATTTGACAGGCTCGGAGGAGCTCAGAGGAGCTCGCCCAGAATCCCACAGCTGCTCACCTGGGTTTCACAAGTCCTGATCCCCAGACAGCGGTTCAGTTCTTTGATAGGACCTGGGCAGGCTTTACGTGTTGAAAAGCCTATGTTGGGGGCACCTGGGTGGCTCAGTTAAGTGTCTGCCTTCAGCTCGGGTCATGATCCCAGGGTTTTGGGATCGAGCCCCACGTCTGGCTCCCTGCTCAGCGGGAAGCCTGCTTCTCCCTCTCCTTCTGCTGCTCCCCTTGTTGTGCTCTCTTGCTCTCTCTATCAAATAAATAAATAAAATCTTTAAAAAATAAAAGGAAAAAAAAAAAGAAAAGCCTGTATTGTACATTCTGGTCTTCAGTACTCCCGGACTAGACCCAATCTGTGTACCTCTGGAGTATCACCTGGCCCTACAGCCTCTTGGCACTCCTAACACCGGGGAATATCACAGCCTTATGGTGAGGACCAGACTCTGTCACGGGGCCCCCTCAAGCCCTGGCAGGACCGCGGGGGAAGGGTGGTGCTCTGCCTCTTCTCGCCCTTTCTGGACTCAGATGGCAACTCACACCACAGTACCTGGGATATGCTTACAGAGGGCCAGGTAACTCTACTCAGAAATGCAGGGGAGTTGAACCTCGGGCCAAATTTTGACCAATGAAAGACAAGAGGACGGACCCAGTCCCTGGAGTGCAGTGGTCTCATTGGCCTGTCAGGAGATGGCCGGGAGACATGACTGGTAGTGTTTCCTTCTGAAGACGCGGCCCGCTCAAAAGCATACAATCCTGTGTTTCCTTCCCTTTTGCTTGCTTCCCTCCCATTTCCTCCTTATTTTTGTTACCTGAGGGTTGTACCCTTCAATAAAGTATCAGCAGGCAAGCATCGCTTCATGCTCTGTGTCCCCAGGAACTGCAGACAGTTGGTACCACAAGTGGCCCCAGAAAGCAGATCTTCAGGATGGGATGTGGGAGCTGGGTTTCCCAACTGTCTGAAGGCAATAGGGGTCCCATTACTGACGGCACACAGGGTCCTACGGGGCATATAGTGACATCACAATTTCTAAAGCTTCACCCGCGGCTACTTGGGATGAGATGCAGGTAGGAGGTGAGGCTTTGGGAGGTCACGTGGCTGCCGCACTTGATCAATGTGAGGGAAATGATCCTCATAAGGATTGTGGGGTTGGATGGCTTCTGATGGAACTGGAGGTTTTTTGGGGAGACGATGACAGGCTCACGGAAGCCATTTGCCAACTGAAGGCATGCTGGTGAATGCTTTAAGGTCACCCTTATCTTTTGACAGCCACAAAACAGACTGCACTGAAAATCAGGCTCAGGTACTGATTGCATGGTGGCCGAGCTGGAAAGGGAGACTAAGCTTGCAGCTACATAGGTGTCCTATGTTCACGTCCGGGCTCTGATAAGGAAAGAGTTGGACCTTGTGATCTGGATTAGAGACATTGTGTATCAAGCCCTGAAAATCTTGGACCCTCCAAATCTCCCTATATATGCTGGCTGGTAGAGGCACCTCTCTCCCCCTTTGTCAGAATGAAACAGCTCCTCCTGGCCTGGAGAGCAAGCGATGACCTAATTGCCGCAGTTGCCTTGCAACATGGTGCTTGTTCTCATGACGATAGCCTATAGGAAATAAGGTGAGATGCCAGAACTTTTTTGGCACAATGTTGAAAAAGGAACAGAAGGCCCAGAGAGAGCTGGGAATATTAGAATCATCAGACCCAAGAATCTACCACTTGGCTATGTCTCCTGGGATGGCCCCAAGGGCATTCCCTCCATCGAGCCAGAAAGAAAAGGCCTGGTGGGAGTGGGGAAAGCACCAGGATCTTTGAGAAGCTCAACAGTGGCAATCCTCCGAAGCCCGGCTTCGATGATGGGACATGGCGGCAACATTAACTTGCTGCTATCAAGGGTCAGCTGGCCTAGTAGGTCACAAGAGGCAAAGGGGACCCAATTACCAAGTGGGAAGCAAAGCTGGAGCGGCTTAGGGTGCCTTGAGCCATAGGTGTCTATGTCAATGGCTAGTAGGTCATGGTGTCGCTAGGGATGAGATCGATAGAGAGTTGACAAGGTTATGGCTCAATTTGTATGAATTTTCTTTAAAATAATCAAGAGCATTAGAGCAAAAAGATGACATCAGTGATGGAAAATTATCTGAGTTTTTTCACAGCGCAGAGCCCATTGATTGAAAGGGAGGCTGGGTTCCTCTGAAGGGCATGCAAATGCCAGAGTCTGCAGATCAGGCACGACCCTGCGATGATCTGACATGTGATTGGCATGGTACGCTTAGGACCAGGCTCTAACAGGTCCAGAAGGAACTGGTAAATTACCTAAACAGGTGCCCCAGATCCTTCTC